ACAGAGATATGCCTGCCTCTGCCTTCTGAGTGTTAGGATTAAAGGCATGTGCCATCACCACCTGGCAAGAAATTTAAAAAAAAAAATAATAATAAGAAAACAAATAACCTAATTTGAAAATGGGCTGTGTATCCAGAGTTCTCAAAAGAAGAAAATGGCTGAGAAATTACCTTTAAGAGTGTTCAACATCCTTAGCAATTAGAAAAATGCAAATTAAAACTATTTGAGATTTTATCTCACCCCAGTCAGAAAAGCTAAAACCAATAAAGCAGGTAACAACAAATGCCAGCCAGGATGTGAAAAACTTGAAGCCTCATTCACTTATAGTGGGATTACAAATGAGGGCATCTTACAATCAGGGTGCAGAATTCTCTAAACTCTAAAAGCAGACCTGCCATCCAACCCAGCTATACCATTTTCTCACCTTTAAGGCATTCCACAAACTTCCTCACCCCTTTAAATGAAAACAATTTCATGAAATAGGCTGAAGGTAAACAAATGACTTTTGCAGCCAGACTTTTGGGTTTTCTTTTTGTTTCCTCCAGGCAGTGTTAGTCTGAGTTCCTGAAATAGGAAGAGATCTTGTTTCCCTTCCTAGAACATCAGGGTAACCCAATCGCAATAGAGTTTTGGGAGCCAGCAGCTAAAGGAATGTTCCGTCTTGTGTCCAAGGGATCGGCTCTTGTAGAAAACTGCAAACAATAAAAGATGGTGTGAAAGCCAATTGGTTGTCCAGTGTCAAATGATCAGCTCTGGGGAAAAAAAAAAAAAAACTCATACAAGTAGCATTTATATGGCGTCAACAGATTACATTTAGGAATATTTATGTATATGAATATATGTATATAAATAACAATTAGGGAAAAAGAGGCCATGGATTTGGAGAAAAGCAGAGTGGAGCAATGGGAAGCATTTGGAGGGAGGAAAGGGAAGGGGGAAATGAATACATTTTAGTCTAAAACAATTTTTTTTTTATAAAAGGGTAAATGTGAAAATAATACACCAAGTCTTTTTCCATGGCATCTGTGCTGGCTAGTTTTGGTATCAATTTGACACAAACTAGTGTCATTTGAGAAGGAATCTTGATTGAGAAAAACACCTAGATAGGATCAGCCCGTGGCAAGCCTGGGGAGGGGTTTCTGAGAGGTTGACCTAGGGTTGAGGTAGGAGGGCTCAGCCCATCGTGGGTGGAGCCTCCACTGGACTGGCTTAAGAAACCGTGGATGGTTTAAGGAAACAAGCTGAGCAAGCCATGAGCAAGCAAGCCAGTAAACATCACGACTCTGGGGCTCCTGCATCAATTCCTACCTCCATGTTCCTGCCTTAAGTTCCTGCCCTGACTTCTGTGGATGATGAAATATAAACTGTAAGATGAAATAAACTTTTCCTCCCCAAGCTGCTTTGGTTATTTTGATTTTAAATCACAGCGACAGAAACCTTAACAAAGATACCACCCATTCTTTTTTATTATTATTTATTTTATTTTTGTTTTTTTTATTAATTTTTATTGAGCTCTACATTTTTCTCTGCTCCCCTCCCTGCCTCTCCCCTCCCCACTTCAACCCTCTCCCAAAGTCCCCATGTTCCCAATTTACTCAGGAGATCTTGTCTTTTTCTACTTTCTAGTTCCCATGTAGATTAGATCTATGTAAGTCTCTCTTAGTGTCTGCATTGTTGTCTAAGTTCTCTGGGATTGTGGTTTGTAGGCTGGCTTTCTTTGCTTTATGTTTAAAAACCACCTATGAGAGAGTGCATGTGATAATTGTCTTTCTGTGTCTGGGTTACCTCACTCAAAATGATGTTTTCTAGCTCCATCCATTTGCCTGCAAAATTTAAGATGTCATTATTTTTTTCTGCTGTGTAGTATTCCATTGGCCAACATGACTTTTAACGTCTTCAATATTACATTTGTTTGTATATGTGTACGTGTGTGCATGCCAGTGCCATGGTGCACATATAGAGGTCAGAGGTCAATTTGAGGGGTCATTAGTTCTCTTCCCCTAAGTGGGGCCCAGGGATAGAATAGGCTCAGATATTCAAGCTTAGTAGCAAGTATCTTTTACTATCTTAGCCATCCTAACAGCCCAAAGATGGTTTTTAAACTAACAATTAGCACATGTGAAAAGCCCTCACCAGGGGTGATCATCATGGGTACTGCTAGCCAGCTTCTCCAGCTACATTCACAAGTGCGAATGGACAGGGTCCAAAGACATGCATTTCTTCCCTGGGAGCTTCCTAGTCTATTACCCCAGTCGAAGACGCTGCTTCATGGCAGCTTCAGTGGAGAGGCTTCTAGAGGGTCTTGAAAGCAGACGGAAGAGCATGGTTTCAAAAGGAGAACGAAGTGCTCCTGCTAACTCTAGTTTGGATCAAAGACCCACGGTGGGGGTGGGAGTGGGCGAGTCCAGCCTGCAGCAGGGCCCACTGGAAGTCAGGACAATAGGGCACGTCAATCCATCTCCCTTCTCTGCCCATCCCCCTATTCTTGGTCACCACTGAAGTATGTGGCATTGTTCTATCTAATGCTTCTACCATGAGGCACCATGCTGTCACAGGCCCAAAGAGGTCCAGAGACCATGAATTTGTGCCACGGTAACTGTAAGTCAATGTAAATCCTTCCTCCTTATACAGCACATTTTCTCGGGACTTTATCACAGTGACGAAACCTGACTGACGCATGACTACAACCGGAGAGTGGTCTTTTGGGCCTTCTTTTCTCTTGTCTGATATCCCCAGACCTGTCCCCACCCCAATCCCATTCCATCCCAACATGAGCAGAGATCCCTATAGTCTATCAATCTTCTCTACCTCTAAGTTTTTGTAGGCTAAGGCCAGTCTCCTTAGTCACTCTGCAGCTTCTCAGTGGCTGCTGGCATTAAACCCCAGTTTTTTGGTTCAGGCGTGGCATCACTAATTTCTAACAGCCTGTTAAGGACTATCCAGGTCCTATTTTTCCCCCTTCTAACAACCTGCCTCTGGACCTCTTTCCACAGAGTTCAAAATAACCCATGCCAGAGCTCACCTAAGAATTGCAGCCTTGCCTGCTGCAGGTGCCTTTCCACTCCTTGCCAGTTGAAAGTTGGCCCTTTACCGTCCTTCTCCCTGGTGATGTCATCAGAACCTTCTCAAGAGACATAAGCTGTTGTATTGTTATTGAATATTATTTTACTCTGTAATATATTATTTTAAGGTGTGTTCCTTTTGTTTATGCTGTGGAACATTTGTTTACTGATGTAAAGCTCTGTTGCTTTTGTTTATGTTGCGTTTGTTTAACTCTGTGGAGCTGTGATTCCTTGTCTGTCTAAAACACCTGATGCTTTAATAAAGAACTGAATGGCCAATAGCGGGGCAGGAGAAAGGATAGGTGGGGCTAGCAGGTAGAGAGTATAAATAGAAGGAGAACTCTGGGAGAAGGAGCAAGAAAAGGAGGAGAGAGCATGCTAGGGGCCAGTCACAGAGTGAACGTGAAAGTAAGATATACCAAATTAAGAAAAGAAAAATGTCCAAAGGCAAAAGGTAGATGGAATAATTTAAGAAAAGCAGGCCAGAAACAAGCCAAGCTAAGTAAGAATAAGCTTCTGTGTGTGATTTATTTGGAAGCTGGGAGCTAGGTGGCAGGCCCCTCAAAAAGCCAAAAGAGTAAAACATCATATTACAATGAGCTTATGCAATGAATGCAGGGACTTGTGGCAGCCAGGTGGCCACTGGAATGACAATCTGCAGCCCTCTCACATATGAACAGCCACCTGTACTGAATGACTACATAGACCCTTTAGAATTTCTCAGAACCGAGACAGTGATCTGAAGCACTTGGGTTGCAAGCACAAGTAAGAGATGGGGTGCGGTGGAAGCCTGTGGATGACAGAACAGCAACCAAGTTGGCTTCTTTCTGTTCTGTTGTGCATTTCTGTTGACAGGAGTTGGGTGATGGGTATGGGTCTAGGCCAGATAGGCTGTACCCCACACCAGAGGACAGTCTGGGGCATGCTCATATTTTAAGTCTAAATTAGGCGGCAATACTCAAGTTTGCTTCTGACTACACATTCCCTTCGATCCCCAGTCCTGTGTGTGTGTACAGCCTTCAAACCTGGCCGAAAAGACCATTCTGGCACGACTGCAGCAGCGGAAGTAAGTTGACAACAACCTAAAGGCTCCCAATGCGCTTTCATTTCTTCATCTGAATCAAGGATTTCCGAAGGGGAGAGAGGGGAATGCAGAATCCGACAGATGTAGCTTGCTCTGCGGTTTTCTGTCCAAGAAGATGGATGATTCTGGCCTCTCGATATTCCTGGAGGGCCAAGCAGACAGCAGCAGAACCTACTTGGGAGGATGAGAAGTGCGTGGGGCCCCTTGGGGCGTGAGAAAAATCAGGCTTTTGCAAAGGGTCCCTAGCCGTGTGGAGGGAAAGGGAGAGAGAGTCTTGCTTTGCACTTTCCCGGAGGCTGGCCACAGTGTTTTCCTCTCAGAGCTTAGAGCCATTTCCAGTAGGGTTGAATCTGGTGGGACTCGCCCCCTATGGGTACTCAGAGTCCTCAGACGGCTGCGGCATCTTTGGGGCCAAGTCCCGCACCTCCAGATACGAGGGTTGTTCTCCGCGGCATGCCCACTCGCGACGGCTTTGGGAGCTCCCGCCGTCTGTCAGCGGCAAGGGCCTTCTCTGTCTGCAGCCTCGTTCCCGGGGCGACCCCACCGCATCAGGCCACGCTGGAGTAGCAGCGGCCACCACCACCACCGCACTTCACAACCGCCAACTTACGGGTCGGGTCGCCAGAGCGTCTCCCGGCCAACGCTCGGCCGTATGCGATAGGACAGTGACCGAGGGGCGGGACCATACGGTAGGCACCACCCACGGCCTCCAGGAGTCCTGCTTCCCCGACGATTGGCTATGGACAACGCCAGTCAGATGCTAGTGGACGCTCCGCCTTACGGGGGCTGGCCCGAGGAAGACCACGCCCCACGGCCCCGCCCCCCAGGCGCCTAGTCAGCGCAGCGCGGCGTTCCGCCTCATTCGCTGAGCGGGTCCGTGAATTGTCAGCGCGCTCCAGGCGACTGCTGAGTCGGGCGGCCGCCGTGCTTGCGACGATCCCCGTCAGGTGCCCGACTAGCTCCAATGAGCCCAGGTCTTGCGGGGCGCAAGCAGCAGGCGGTTCAGGGAAACTTGGGATTGAGGATCTGCAGCAGGGGCGTGGATTTGGCGTCTGCACTGGGCCAGGAGGGTGAGTGGCCGCGTCGTGCAAGCCGCTCCTCGGCGCCGCTTTGCCAGCGAGCAGGGGACGGCGTCGGTGCTAGTGGGTGGGAGCGTGGCGACCGTGGGAGGGCTGGGCAAGGCAGGAGACACTTACTCGCTGCCAGCGTCCCGGCTTCCGAACTTCTGGTTTTCAAAGCATCCCAACTCGGCCCGGGACGCGACTGTGCGTCGGCACCGACTTGGCGATGGTGGCAGTCACCCTTAGGTCCGGGGCGAGCCCCTGCCCGTCTGCGGCGGCGACACGGAGCTCGGGGACGCCTGGGTGAGCGCACAGCAGTTCCTAGATGGCTGCGACTGGTTTCTAAACATTAACCGGCGCCCGAGCGGGCGTGCGCTGCGAGCGCCGATCGCGTTCCAAGTGAGAATTGGAGGGACCCTCCGGGGACCTCAGCAGGCCGCTTCCGTACTCTGCAGATCCGAAGACATTGACAGCCGTACTGAACGTTAAAGTTTGGGAAGTAATTGCTTCCTGTGAACCCTTGACTGGGCGCCCCTCTTCCTGGGGTGCGCAGACCTCCAACATCCACAAGAAGGTGTGTCTGAGGAACTTGGTTAGGACCAGCAGGGAGCCTAGAGGCTAAGGCCAGGCTGAGAGTCTGCCAGCCTGGTTTGGTGGTGTTTGTTTAAGCACCTGTGTGTTGAAGTGTTGAAGTTGTGGCAGGAACTGACAACAGAGGATTCAAGGTTAAACCTGACACTTCGTTTGTGATTTAGCCTGCGTTGCATTTTTTTTCCTTCCTTACCTCTCTTGTGGTAAAAAAAAAATGTTGCTTGTTTGTTTGAGGGCAGTTGTATAGATAGCGCTTATATTCTGTATGGACTAAATAGAATTCAGGGCAGTATTGTCTTGTTATTCTTATTTGATATGCGTGAGAGTTTATTAAGAGTGCTAGAGAGAGATGGATCAGGAGTTGGGAGCAGTTCGGTATTTTAAAATATATAAAACATTGATTTATGTAGTAGATGTGAGTGTACATATACACATATCGTAGCGTCTGTATATATGTGCAGGATTGATAGGGGCATGAGGTAGAAATATATGAAGGATTAACTCAGCCTTGAACTTCCCCTGGATTACAGAGATGAACCCTCTTAGCTAGGAGGTATGTGATCGTGTGTGTGTGTGTGTGTGTGTGTGTGTGTGTGTGTGTGTGTGTGTG